CCGGTCAGCGAAATATATACCAGCTCATGTAGACCGCATGCTTGTTTGTCGTTGGTCCTCGTAAAAAGGGAAGCATTTCAACGCGCAGTGAATCGAGCCAGATTTCGCACAGCGTAATGCATCGTTACGCATGCACGGCTTAAAATGAGCATGGCATCCCTGGCAGGTTTAAGGATGAAAAAAACATGCAGTACTTACAGCATTTTGCAGTATTTTATGCACCTGACTCATCCAATCACATGTCCATGGTAACTCCTAGACGGTACAGGGGTGGCGCTATGGGTTTTGAGTTGGGGGAGTAGGATTGATGGAGGATGGAGAGGGAGTTCGTCTCCCCGGGACAGGCGGTGGCCTCCACGGCTATGTCGCTAGTAGTGACATAGCTCACAGTAGTGACATAGCTAGGTCATAGCTAGTATTCGTCAGGGGTAGTGACTCACTACCCCCGACGAATGGGAAGGAAACGGCTGGGATGGAGCTCATATCGCTGGAATGGAACCCATATCGGCTGGGATGGAACTCACATCGCTGGGATGGAACTCATATGGCTGGGATGGACCTCATATCGGCTGGGATGGAACTCATATCGGCCTCGCGCAGTGGTCCCTGCTTGACGGGCAAAGCAGGGCCAGGGAGGTGTTTTGTCTGTGGATGCTCCATTGGCCTGATGGGTTCGAAGATCAGGCGATATATAGTGATGGAAAGTGGTTTATGTTAAACTAGGCAGCAAGCAAGCAAAGAGAACGACACTGGGACTTTACGTGCTCAGAGGTGCAGTATAAAGGGTCCAAATATCGCATAAGGGGCTGTGCCGGGTGGGGTTATCCGAGAGCAGGTGATCATAAAGCGGTGTGACTGTCACCGCCTAGGTTCCCGGGCGTTTAAACGCAACGTGCCACTTGCACGACCTGGAGCGCGCAACCCCAAAGCGAAATCAAACGTATTGCGACATGGGTAGAAAAGCAGCAGCGGAAATCCGCTGAAATTCTGGAGACTATCTGCCGCTGGTTTGTGCCCCTTCTATTCTATCAATGGCGCGCAGCATTGCATTCGGTCGCCTCAGAATCTGTTTTGATGGCGAGAGGCTTGGCGATGACCTCAGCTTTGCATGACACCGCCCGTGCGCGTCGGATCCTTTGACCGAGATTATCGACACCGGCGCCGTTCGCACCCCTCAGCGGCGTCGTCTCAAAGGACCGTTCATAGCGCAAAATCGACCCTGCGCGGGGGAGTTCTTGGCGCGCGCGTTTCGCTGAAGACGCTCGATGGCGCCGACGTCGTGTAGCCGGCGGCAAGCCGAGGCCGGCCGTGAGAGTAAGACTAATCAATAGCTCGGCAACGGGCGCGGCTCGCAGTTCCGCGCTCGCGCCGCGCGCTCGACCTCTGACGCCTTTACTCTCCTGTTCCGTTGCGCCTCTCTCCCCTCCTCCCTCCGGCTCAGCAGAAGTCCAGGCGGAATATGGATGTCCGCAGTACATGGACGCGAAGTTCGTGGCTGCGCATAGTCTTACAGGAACTTTTGGTAGATGATGCATGTCAGTGACGAAATGTGGCAAGACCATTCGGCTTCAGTGACATTCATTACGTTAAGTGACGTCAGTGTTCGCGGTTCGCCACGGCAGCAGCTTCATGCCGCCTGGACTCCTGAGCTGAATGTTCTGTACTCCGCATGGGCTGCGGGTCTTTGCTGGTCCTGTGTGGTTTCACACGATCGCTCTCCCTCCAGAGACGGTCAGAACACCGAGGGCAGTATGTTTAAACCGATTTTTGCATGTTAGCCATGCACATGAGTGTATATGTGTGAGAGACAATTTATAAACCAAACTACAACACGGAAATGGCGGTATAAGCCCGTTAAGTCAAGTCTCACCATGGGCGCCGGCAGATATTCCCACGGCAAAATAGTTGGCACTCGATTACAAACTTCGCCAAAAGTACATACTCATATTGGAAGTAATCTCCTTGAAACTTTACACGCAAAACACCAGGCTCATCTCAGTGAATAATTAAAAGTTTTCATGCATTTTGAATTCTACCACAGATTGCCAGCGATAGTATGGAGTGTGGTTCACATTCGAAGGCAGCCAATTCTGTCAGCTAACGAAGTCAGTTCTGTCAGCTAATGACGTCGGCCGCGGCTAAGCTTATTCAGGAGTGAATACATGTGCATAACCATAATGTATGCCACACACACACACACACACACACACACACCACACCCACACACACACACACACACACACCACACACACACACACACACACACACACACACACACACACACACACACACACACACACACACACACACACACACACACACACACACACAACACACACCCACACACACACACACACACACACAACCACACACACACACACACACACCCACCACACACACACACACAACACACCACACACACACACACACCACACACAACACACACACACACACACACACACACACACACCCACACACCCACCACACACACACACACACACCCACACACACACAACACACACACACACACACACACACACACCACACACACACACACACACACACACACACACACACACACACACACACACACACACACACACACACACACCCACACACACACACACACACACACACACACACACACACACACACACACACACACACACACACACACACACACCACACAACACACACACACACCACACACACACACACCACACACCACACACCCACACTCGCGCGCGCGCGAACCAGGATGGTTTAGATTATGTTCTGCCATTCGGATGCTATCAAAACAGCCACCAAAGACTCGTAATTCGCCAACAACCTTTGTCACTCGAGAGCCGTTGAGGGTCCGGTTACGAAAACACCAGCAGATATCATCCGAAGGCCATCCGCGATAGCATGGCATGCGTTACCAACCTGGCTGTGGTCGCAATGTGTTACCAACCTGGCTGTGGTCGCAATGTGTAATTTGCAGGCCTGGTGCTGGCTTCTCTTATTCAAGCCGGTGAGGTATAAAGTACAGGGCTCTGGCACTAGCGTTCTTAATTTGTCCGCAAGCAGGGCCACGATGAAATAAATCCATTGTTTTTATTCGATGTGAACAGTTCAAGTCGAGCAATTTTTCTGAATAAAATAGAAGGCCTTAGTCTTCCTTATTTTTCACTAGCTTAAGCACCGGACGAATCTTGGGTAATGCATTAGATGTGTTACAATGTAACAATTTGAGAGCATCGTATGTATTTTCACATCCCGGGTCACCCGACTTGCGTTGCAGGCATTCGTATTCGTGCTTGTGTCACGGGGGGTCACGTGCCCGACGGTGCTTTAACAGGGGATTAGTCAGTGGGTCACATGCCCGATGCGCCACACTACAGTTCACTATTCGACTTGAGCACTTTCGGCAGCAGACGTTCAGGATTTGAGTGACTGAGGTTATACGCGACAGAATACGCACATGGACTAGAACGCGCTGATGCCTGAAATAACTCCAAGTGACACTTTGTAAAGTTGGTTTGTATTGTCAAAGCATATCTCAACAGTGGTTTTCTTGCCAGTAAGGGACCTTCCAACGGGCCAACGGGTCCTGCTGATATGAAGTTATCAAGAGTTATTGGAATACATCATAACAGTGAACAGTTTCAAAGTGGTATTACTTACGACAGGATAAGTCATGATGCCGACAACTGCAGCTCACCACAAGCGCTATGCTGTTTTGTCTATCGACAATTATATATATATATATATATATATATATATATATATATATATATATATGTGTGTGTGTGTGTGTGTGTGTGTGTGTGTGTGTGTATAGGTGTCCACACTATTCGCTTATCTTTTTTCTTATTCAGGCACACTTCAAAATAGTAATAAAGTGGCTTGCCCAAACACTAGCATTAGAAAGAGTCCACTTCCTTTACTTCCACCGAGGTAAGCAAATATCCATGTCCGATTTAGAACTTTGCTTTATAGCACTCCAAATGGGGTTTCGCGTAACACGCAACCTCTTGCACATTGGTGCAAGGCTATAGCCACTGCTGCGGTCATAATGCCCAGTGTTTTTAACATCCCGACTTTAGAATGAACAGATTTCGCCAAGGCACATAGAGAAGGCACGTCGTGCATCCAAACCCTGCCTGGCGCCTACATTGCCCGACTGGGAGCTCCGGCCGCTGCGTTCCGTGTGTCTGGCAGGCGGTGGTGGGCCGGCGTCTGTAGGCGCAATGTTCCGCCGTTCCGTGTGCCTGCCAGGCGGTGGTGGGCCGGCGTCTGTCGGCGCAATGTTCCGCCGCTCTTTGGCCGTACATATTTTACAGCCGCAAATTGTTGGAGTGCCCGGGTGCTCTTGAGATGGTTTCTTCCCGGCTGTCGAGCGGCAGAAGGTGGCCCAGTTCCCGCTGCTAAAATATGTAACTTCCAAGTGTGTGAAATCTGATCACTGGAACGGGACGAAGTACGTCGCCTTTTTGCGGGCGATCTATTGAATTTGAGCAAAATCTGACCGGCATTGTATTACCAGCATGGCGAAGATCCTGTTTCAGACATAATCCCTTAAAGCGAATTACTTTGAATACCGCGTATGTCTCCGCTGACTGTCCTAGACTGAAATGTTATTTCGGGCATTGCACCCCTTGATCACGTGCACCAGTGTGTCATTGAGCAAAAACACAACCCCTAAGCAACGTGTGCTATTTGCTTTAGTCCTTAAGGGCATGTCCGATGGCCCGTACGCTGGACATTGTCACCTTCAGCGTAGGAGTTAGCAGACACAGCCGTTTGATGCAGTGTTTTGGTGGATCAGCACTGTGTAGCGTCGGCGTAATGTCATTGACGCATCCTCATGACAGGCGATAAGTGCACGCACCTACGTTCATGGCGTCGCCTAGCACGGATTGATGAGCGGCAGTTCAGCTGTGCGTGGTGCCTCACCTTGACTCCTTGCGGCGGGCGAAGACTGAGGATGTATCTGCCTTTCTGACCAACAGGTGAAGGAGGTGGCGAAAAAGAAGTTCAACTACACCTACCCCGAGTCGGTGGTGAACACGTTCATCGCCTCGTTCCACGAGGCAGTGATACTATACGCCTACGCCCTGAACGACACGCTGGAGGCAGGCTACAGCATTAGCAACGGGTCTGCAGTCACCCATGCCATGTGGAACCGCACTTTCCAAGGTGGGCAAACAGCTTCATGGCATACGAAAGGGCGATGAGCCAGTATAGAGCGAAAACAGCTGACCGCCAGGGTGGAGTGATGTCGCATGCAACGGTGTCTGCGTGCCGATGCCTGCGCGCTTTGAATACCCTGGGCTCTTCCGCATTCAGATCTGAGTAAAAAAAAGCATGGTCCGTGGGGAACGAAACAGTTAAAGGGTTGGAAACAATTGATTAATCTGGTTGCATCAGGCCACAGAGCTCAGACATGACCGACCAGCGAACAGGGGTGTTACGAAAGACGCTCTCTCCCGAGAAGTGGGTAAGCTATGGCAATGGTCCCACGCCGCCATCCGCCAGAGTGGTTGCCAAGGCACTGGTATCATTGAACACAAAATGGAGAAGATTTTAACATGGAGAATATCTCAGCGGAACGCACTCTTCGGCGGACCCTTACTTGTCAAATAGGTGGCGGAACTCGTATGTGCCCTCCTGCGCTGTAGAGAAGCTACAGCATGGGACAATGAGCAACCAACTTGAAAGGCCAGGACTACGAGATGTCCAGCACAACGGAGTACCATTTCGCGAAGCGCTCACTAGGCTATGGCTTCCACAGGGCTAAAGTGCCAAAATAGAGCGAAAACGGCCGGCAGCCAGGGTGGAGCTGTAAAAATAAGATTAAAGAATTGGAAAAAGGACCGCTTTTTCAAAATCATTTAGATCAGCAACTCTTGTTTTTTTTTAACCCTCCCGATCCTCAAAATCCAAGAACGATCGTATGTGACAAAGCACTGGACGGAAGTACTCCCTTGCCACCTGAGTACCCTGCACCTCACAGAACTGCACGTGGTTCTGCGAAAAACATACTGTCCATGCAGCCTACTCTGTGCGGAAGATTCTCAACAAGTCTCTCAAAAACGGCGAGCAGTGGACCGCAAACCCAAAGGAAGATTGTGCGCATGTCAGCTGCCACTTTCATGCAAGATAGCGCCCCGGTCACACGGCGCTGGGAGCCCGAGCGTTCAGCGACGCTCCCGGGGCACTTGGACAAGAAGGCATTGTGAGAGAACTAAGTGGCCTGAGCTTTAAAATAAATATGTGGGAAACGCGCCCTGAAATCGCATATTAGCGAGATGGACCCCTGCAAAAGCTTTACGGCACTGGATGCAGTGCAGCGGATGAAGTGACCCTCGCCTGACCTTTGTCCTTTGTCCACCTTATCTGACGTTTGTCCGCGTGCTATCCGGGTTAGCTCGGTTGGTAGCAAAGCAGTGGACTCGCCATTAAAACGCCCAACGTTGTATCTCCTTATCTTCTGTGTTACTAAAGCAGCAGTGTGCGTGTGTGTGTGTGTGTGTGTGTGTGTGTGTGTGTGTGTGTGTGTGTGTGTGTGTGTGTGTGTGTGTGTGTGTGTGTGTGTGTGTGTGTGTGTGTGTGTGTGTGTGTGTGTGTGTGTGTGTGTGTGTGTGTGTGTGTGTGTGTGTGTGTGTGTGTGTGTGTGTGTGTGTGTGTGTGTGTGTGTGTGTGTGTGTGTGTGTGTGTGTGTGTGTGTGTGTGTGTGTGTGTGTGTGTGTGTGTGTGTGTGTGTGTGTGTGTGTGTGTGTGTGTGTGACCGGAAATGTGGCGGAAGCGTGCCTGCGTGCGTGCGTGTGGGCGTGTGTGTGTGGGGGAGGGGTCCATTGGTTCATCTGCAGGCCAAACGGTCAGGAATTTTGGCATGAAATTTACACACGACCGAGATCCGCCGGCTGCGCTTGACAGAGTCGCGCCAAAATTCTGCATTTCGCAAAAATGAGGGCGTGCCGAGCGAAAAAAGCGCAAAAATCCCATACGGTAAACATGGGTGACGCCAGTTTCGCGATTCCGGCCCACAGCCCGACACACGTCGCTTCTCGGAGCCGTATCTCGGTAACCAACGGTCGCAGCGACATGCAACTTGCGCGGCGCGATAAAGCACGGCATGGGCCATCGCAGCCGGGTGCGTTTTCGGCGCCACGTCACACGTGGCACGTGCACACGTGTAGACAAGATGAAATCGGCCGTTTTTGACGCGGTTTTACGTTCACCGTTATGTCTCGGCGCGCAAAGCAGGTAGAGGTCTGAATTTTGTTTCCCAACGTTTACAGTTGAAGCGGCTACATTTTCAGTGAGCATTGCGTGTTTCTGAAACGCGCCATTGCGCTGCAAATATCAATACACTGCAACGGGCTTAGGTTTAAAAACCGAAGCCGAATGCAAGCCGCTACCGTCAAAACTATGCGTGATCTAAAGCTGCATCAACTGAAAACTGCATCAGCGTGTCCGCCGATTCGTGCTGTCTCTAATACACCCTTTTGTTGATCACACTTAAAAAAGAAATGTCGCTCGCAAATGAGCCTGGACTAAGGGGCTGCGTGACTGATTTTTCACCTCGACGGCGACAAGCTACTATACCGGCTCCCGGCGTACAACTCAGGCGTTGAGGGTTAAAATGGCCGTTTGCGCTGCGGGCTGTCGACCTTGTTCATACCGCCGGCATTCATGTTTGACGAGCATTCTGATGTTCGTCCAGTCTGTCCGGCGGTGGGCTGACGGATGTGCCGTCCGCGGGCAAAATATCAAGTCGAGTGTGGGAGTCGGCGGCGCGGTGTGCGTGGTGGTCGCCGTGTTCGCATTGTGCGTACATGCGTGGATTTTGTTTCATTCACAATTGACGCGGCTACACGCTCAATCTCATCGCTAGTTTGTGCAGCGCAATGTTGCGCTGCAAATTGCAGGACAAATTGCAAGATCCCAAGTTTAAATGACTGGCTGCTGTAATGCATTGCCTCCGGCCGATTATGCCATCTCGCACCAAAATCTCGACAACGATGGGTCGCAGCAAAACGGGAATGACACAAAAATGTGTACAATGCGATATAGTACGGTCGCACGTACCACGTGGCGAGGGCTCACAGATGGATTTTGATCTCTTCCGCGCGTTTTGTGCCACATTTCGGCACCTACGGCGCAAACACATCCGGGATTGGCGCGCTTCGATGATGAATGGTAGGACCGAGGTGATTATGTGTGGTGACACGTGCGACATGTGATGGCGCCCAGGTGTTGAACTATAGTTTAACACATTTTTGCTCTTTTGAGGGGCTTGCACGTTTTTGTTATATCCCAGAAGCCGTGGAAGGATGTACGTCGAGACTGGCATGCTTCGTTAGGCGATCTAAGGGCCAATTACTCAAACGTCTACAATGTCATGATGCACGTGTCATGTGACACGTTCTCATTAGCTGTATAGATGTATTGTGCCGATTCCGTCCATTTTTGCGGATTACGCGGGATTTTCGCCCTTATGGCACATAGTAACACGAGACTGGCATGCCACGATAGGCCGTTGAACGGGAAATCCCTTGGTGTCAAGTGCGGGGGTTGCACGTCCCACGTGTCGGGCACACATGAGCCAGGAAGATGGCTTTTGCTCTTTTTCACGGGCTTAAATGCTTTGTGCCACACCTCGGCACCCAGAGTGCGGAGCGACTGGGGCGTGGCATTTTTTAGAACATTTCCTGTACCGTTACCCAAGAACAGGTAACCAGGAATGCCCTTCCCGCTATCCTAGCGACGCAATAAACCGTACGTTAACACCAGAAATCATAAAATCAAGCCCCAGCACTCTCAGCTAGGAAGAGGACACTAAATATATACAATATATAAACTACAATAAATTGAATCTATAAACCTCTGCTGTTCAGTTTCGCAGCTCGTGATCATTGGCTTAATTTGAAATATAATAAGCTTGGAATTTTGTAGTTTTGTTGCTGTCTGAGGGATTCACATGATAACGGAAGTCAGGTTATAGAAAATTTGTCTCACATTGGAAGTTTACGGTAGGGTGGTGCTTTTGACCAACCGTGCTGCAATAAAACGTCATCGGTAGTTACCGATCCCTAAAGGCCGCTCACCAACCCGTGGGAGCGGATTTTTATGGATCACCAGCCCGACGTAAGCCCTCGTGGGCTCGTGCCCGCACGTAGGCTGTTGAACGTTCTGCTGTTCGTGTCCCCCTGGGCTTGTTTGTACAAAGCAGCGGTGATGTATCCCTGTTCAAATCCGCGTGGGCTTCCGTCGAAAGCTTGCAGCTCAAATGAGCACGATTCAAGTGGTTGTTGTTATGCATGTGAACTTCCCGTTTCCTACTACATTATGTAGAGCATTCTTTGGCTGGCGCCACGAACCGGCGAACAGCGGTGCGCCATCGCGAGGTGGTATGTAACCGCGAACCCGTGAGGTGATGTGTGACCGGGTGGATCCCCACCGTGAGGTGATGTGTGACCGGGAGGGTCCCCACCGTGAGTGTGATGTGTGACCGGGTGATCCCCACCGCGAAGTGATATGTAACCGCGCGGGTCCCCCTCCCCCCCCCCCCCCGTGAGGTGATTTGTGACCGGGTGGGTCCCCGCCATGAGTTGATGTGGGACCGCGCGGGTCCCCACAGTGAGGTGATGTGTGACCGCGTGGGTCTCTACCGTGAGGTGATGTGTGACCGGGCGGGTCCCCACCATGAGATCATGTGTGACCGCGCGGGTCCCCACCGTATGGTAATGTGGGACCGCGCGGGTCCCCACCGTATGGTAATGTGGGACCGCGCGGGTCCCCACCGTATGGTAATGTGGGACCGCGCGGGTTCCCACAGTGAGCTGATGTGTGACTGCGTGGGTCTCTACCGTGAGGTGATGTGTGAACGGGCGCGTCCCCACCATAAGGTGATGTGTAACCGGGCGGGTCCCCACCGTGAGGTGATGTGTGAACGGGCGGGTCCCCACCGTCAGGTGATGTGTGACCGGGCGGGTCCCCACCGTGAGCTGACGTAGGACCGCGCGGCGGTGCGTTCATCGATCGCTGTTCATCAACTGACGCTGGGAACGGCACGCTCATTATGGTGCCGTCCGTCCCAGACACTCTCGCTGAGATGACCGGCGGCATCGCGCAGACGAAAATGTGGGCGCCGCACTGAAGTCGCTGAGGCAGTGGCTGGCGTGCCACCAGATTGTCAGATGAACCTTATGGTCGTCGTCCAGCGCCAGCCGGGGCGAACGATCGGCGGCTGTCACATGATACAGTCAGTGGGATTGAGAACGCGGCTCCGAAACGCTTGCGTGCAGCGTCGCTTCGAGTGCTCTCCGAAATACGCAATCAGCTCATTCCGGCGGTTACAAGGAGACGCCTTGTCGTAAGTCTCCCTGCACAGCATTTTCCACCGTCCTTTTGGGTGGAATGTCCACTAGATACATCACTGGACTGATTTGTATTGTTCGTCATTTAACAAATACGCGAGTTCCGCTCCGGTAATATAGGTTCGGTTATACTTTTACCTGTCAGAGTCAAAGCAAGGCGAAAGTCGGAAGGTCAGAAAGGCACATGCAGCATACACACATAAACGAGGCCGAGTAAAACAAGGATATATATATATATATATATACACATATATATATACATATATATATACATATATATATATATATATATATATATATATATATATATATATATATATATATTTGCAAGGTGGCAAAAGTCACTTCGCGAGTCATACAACTGTTTGTTGCTCAGATTGGGTGGCCCTCTCCGCAACGTAGGGCTTCAGGGTATCTTTTGAAAACCACATCTGCGTTTTGTTGTGTTGTGGCAGTGGGTTGAGAGCCACTGCAGCCCATTATGCAAGGCGCTATTTCGTGTCACGGATCTCGCTGAAGGGCCGAGGCTCGGAAACTCATTCGCCATATCGAACCGTAATAATCTTGGATCAGACGACTCCCCGCCTGTGTAAATTGGGCGGCACGAGTGTCGCTAATGATAGCACAAATCATGTAAATCAGGACAATTAGCTGTGAAGTGTATGCATTGTCTTTGTATAAAGCTGCATTATGTCTATACGATTCAAACCCACAGAGCATGTAATACTGGAACGTTTGTTATCATCTCGCTTTTCCCGCACCGCAAAACGTGGTGTAAAGCTGAGGAGTTCAGTGGCTTCTCTCAGGTGTCCAGCCGTTTAGAACACGCTGGTTTACCAGATTGCACCGTGGCCATGTCACTGGGAAGCCCGTTAGCAAAATTTTAGATTTCAGACTCTGCGTTTCCAAATCAATGATGGGCTGTCTTTGAAACCCATCCATTCATTCGTCCCAGTCGGCAGATTTGCACCGATTGGAAGATGGATCCATGTCAGCGAAACGCTACGTCTGAAAAATATGTTCTGCGTGGCTTCCGTAGGACATTGCAAACTTATTTATTATTTGTTTCAACAAAGCTCAATTTTTTCGAAGTAGTTGCGTGGTGCTTGAAAAACAAAGCTATTTCGTTGCATCAAATGAATGAGCTATCTTCTGGCGGTCCGTATAGCATGGTTGGTTAGAGCGTCTGTTTTCGGACTCACCTGCCCATAGGAGTGTGTGGGGGGGAGGGGGGTCGAGTCGCTTTAAGCACTCACTACCTGTCTTTGATGGGGATGGCCTGTTGCATGTGGCAGCGGCCGCGCTGAAGGCCAGGTGACGTCAGAGACCAGGACGCATCGTGCCGGGTATTGGGGAACCTTAAGCTTGTCCCGCCAAATTCTGGCGATTGACCATGATATCGTAATATCATGGCCAATATATCGTATATGCGTATCGTATCGTATATTATATCGTAATATGCGTAGCATTGCACGTTCGGATGTTGGAGTCATGTATCAAGCAACAAGAACTGTTAAGCGTGGACGCTGATTGCAGAAATCTGTCCGATCCCAAGACTTTGGCTCTTGGTTAACAAATGGCAATGAGTTTTTGAATTATTTGATGTGAATTTACGTATCAAGTATAGCTTAAAGCTTCGAACAATTCGGCGCTAGACATTTTAGTCGAGCACATTAATTGCATTTGGAGTAATCTAGCATAATCTCGGCCTTATGGGGCATGAGAGCCAACTAAGGTATTGCTTATATATTTCTCAAAGGTAAGCTTAACATGAATTTTGGTGTTATCTTGCTTAACCTATGCACATACTTGCCATGGGCGTTTATTGAACATCAAATTGGTTCGATATCTGATGAATTGCTGTATTCAAGTATAGAGCAAGAACGGCCATGCTCACCACTGTCGATGGTCTTTGAAGTGTCAGTCCACAATTTCTACAGCAGTTTGGACCATTCGACGTGAACGAGGTTTCACTTTCTGGTCATCCCCGAAGGATGGATGGTTAAGCGAGTTATCATTTTGAAAGCGTGCAACGAACAAAACGCGTCCATGCACAGACCGATGGTGTACTTTGGGGCTGAAAACTAGTCAGTCGATTCATCAAAATATCCAATCATTCGAAAGATGCTTCGTATTTACAAGTTTTACGCTGAGAAGTTTCTTCTACCCACTACCGCAAATCGATTCCATCTAAGAGCAAGTTTTTAAAGAAACTCCTTCAGACCAAATGCAATAAATCGGCCCCTGATAAGATGTGACAGCATGTGGCACACTTTGGCAACGTCGGGAATGCACGGGGTAATGCGATTTCCCGCTGGAATAGTAAAAAGTTGTCATTTAGAGCACCATGATCGAAACGAGGAGGTAATTTAGAGCACCGCAATCGAAAAGGATTCGTGCAACACAGTGCACGGAAGATTGCACCCATGAGATGGAATCGTGTTCGCAGTATCGGTGACCACTTCGATAGAAACGTGTAAACACTCCATATATGGTGTGGATATGGGCAGGCGGATGATGATCCGTCGAGCGTTCGAAACTGGTGGCCATGCTGACTTTGGGAAGGCCATTTCGCCATGCGCTATCTGAAGCGAAATCAGAGGACGCGGAATATACGTATGGCGAAATCAGAGGACTCGGAATATGCGTTTGGCGAGATCAGAGGACTCGGAATATGCGTATGGTGAAATCAGAGGACTCGGAATATGCATATGGTGAAATCAGAGGACTCGGAATATACGTATGGCGAGATCAAAAGACTCGGAATATGCGTATGGCGAGATCAGAGGACTCGGAATATACGTATGGCGAGATCAGAGGACTCTGAATACACAAGTGGGTCGTCCGTGCCGCAGTTGTGCCACCCGACGTTTTATATTCCACGTTTCGACAGCTCCAGTGGCTGTTACAGAGAGCGGCGCAGGTGGGAGTGCCAGACGCTGTCACTGGAAGTTTACGCTGGGCGGCTGGGGCCTACGCCGAAAATAGACTTCAAACGCCAGTTGGTCGAGCAGCTGGGTCTCAATCGACTCTCCAGCGCTCATCTCCCATTGGAGGGTTTCAATCACCCACCCCAAGCAGACCGAATCGTACAGCGATGACAGAAGAACCATAAATATTGCATTAACTCGGCCGCCACGAACGGGCTTATGAGGCCATGGTGGCAGTAAATCAGCTCCAAAGGCCAGAGGAGCAGTCCAGCTCATCATCGCACTGCTGGCTTTCAACGGAGACCTTCTGTCAAGTCGTGCTTCTTTAGCGAAATGGCCTCCTTTCGTGCTGATTTGTGTCTGCTCTCCGTGTCCGCATGAGTCCGGCGGACTGGCCACTGAGCGGCCGACCAAACCGGCTATCTGCTATTGTCATTTTTGAAGCTGTTGCTGTTACAGTTGCTATTGCTATTGTTGCAGCTGGATGTATGATCGCTACAGCCGTTATTGCGATTATAACAGCTGGTATATGTACATGAAATTGATGCACTTTATGATGGCTGGCCGTGGAGAGGAGAAGTAAGCCCCTTCCTTTTTTTGGTGTTGGTCTGGGCGTTTTGTCTCTCAGTCCGGCACTGGCAGCACCATCAAACATACTTTCTTCCTCGATGGGGCAAAGCCTCAGAAGACCTTCAAGTAATGATGGGTACGCAGGCTTCAGTAGACGTTCCACCATGCCCACAGGGATCACTGGTCTTGTCTCCATCGACAGCAACGGAGATCGAAAGGCCGACTACTCTCTTCTTGACATGAACCCGAAGACGGGCATTTTCGAGGTGAGTGTGGGGGTGCATGCTCGTGCGTACACATCCGGCGAGGCAGGGCAGCGGCCGACGGCTCACCGGGGAGCTGGGACACGGGCCCACGCCTCACCGGGGGAGCTGGGCCAGCAGCCCACGGCTCGTCGGGAGGAGCTGGGCCAGCAGCCCACGCCTTACTGGAGGGGCTGGGTCAGCAGCCCACGCCTCACCGGGGGAGCTGGGACGGACACGAGCCCACGCCCCGCTGGTGGAGCTGGGCCAGCAGCCCACGGCTCGTCGGGAGGAGCTGGGCCAGCAGCCCACGCCTTCCGGAGGGGCTGGGCCAGCAGCCCATGCCTCAACGGGAGAGCTGGGACACACACGGGCCCACCCCCCCCCCCCCCACCGGGGGGAGCTGGGAGACGGGCCCACGCCCTACCGGGGGAGTTGGGACAAGCGGCCGGACCCCGGCGCTTTGGCGCCTCGTTTCCTCTGTCAGCTGGCCAGGCGGCGAAGACCGCACGATTTCAGTCTGGTCATGTGTCGCGACTGATTCGACGTTAGCTGCAGCGCGCCTCACTGTCGTCCGCAGCCACGCCTCAGTGGAAATATGGCGCCATTCACACCGGCTTCCCGGGGGGCGGTCATATGAAGCCAATCAGCTCCAGCTCCCGTGCGGCTTGTCCGTTACGCGTGACTTGAGCCTTCCGTCACATGATTGCTATGCTGGGAACGGCACAGGACGCTGCGGCAGCGTGCAGCCGGGCTTATCTGATGAAATATCCCGCGCATGACGGATCAGCCAGCACACGTGTCAGTCATCCCTGTCGGCAATGTAGTGCTGTTTAAGGAGCAAGTCAAAAAGCGGGGATTGGAGGAAAGTGCTTGGAAGTGTGGGATGCGAGTAGGCGAGAGGAGAAGCAATAACACGATGTTGATCGTTGCAGCAAGACTCGATAGTAAGCAGCAGTCGCATGACAAAAGATGAAATGGTGTTATTCTGAAAGGGACTGGACTTATCTTCCGAAATGTGTGTTGAGTTCAACGTATGCCTACTTTCGAGATCCGCACGACACCTTCATTTTTACGAGAACTCTTGTCTGTACGGTCCTATAATTCGGCAAAGCGTTGACCTTTTGTGCGAGGCGAGTACCACCCGTTGGAACCTTCAGTCTGGCAGCCATGGTGCCGCTAACGATAAATGGACATCGATACCGCCAAATATGAAACACAAACGCCGCAGTCTATCATAACTCCCAAATTTATTGAGGCTGGAAAATTGCTTTTGACACCAGAATTGTCTGCCCGCCCAAGAAAATGCAAAATCGAACAACTTTCGGCCAATCAAATTTATCTGAGAGCAATGGGATTTTTGGGATTTTGGGAGTTTCAAATGGGAGCAATGGGAGCAAAAATTCCTCGCCAATGCCCAGGAAACGGTTGGCGACCTTCTCAATGTTCGGTGTGACATGCCGTGTTGTCGGCATGGTCGCCTCGAGAGGGGTGACGGCAGCGTGTCCGGCTGGTCACGTGCGTCCCGGTGGCTCGGTTGGAGTGCCTGCCCTCCGATCCACCCACCTGTGGTGGGGTGGGTTCGAGTCGCTTTATGCGCTCGCTCTTTGGCATTGACAGGCATGGTCTGCGACCGGTGGTAGCGGCCGCGTTAAATGTCAGTGGATGTCAGAGAGCAGGACGGACCGTGCCGAGCATTGCGGCACGTTAACGCTTCGTCACTAAATTCTGCCGTTGACATGGAATTACGTGATCGGATGGTGGCGGTCAGGGCTCAACACAACAAGCACTGGTTGGCGTGAGCGCTGATCCCAGAAATCCATCCATTCAGAGGGTTTAGATCAAACTCATAAAAAGCGTGCCGCCGGTGGTGACGTCACCGACCTGACACCTGCCCGGATCACCGCCAGGTGGTGGCCAACTATTACGGCGTGAAGCACCAGTTCGTGATGGAGGAGAACAAGACCATCCACTGGTCTGGCGGCCGGATGGCACCGCCGCCTGACACGCCGCCTTGCGGCTTCGACGGCTCCCTCTGCCCAGACACAGGTGACGGTTAACGGCTGTGTCTGCCCAAACACTGGTGGCAGTCGACAGCTGTGTGTGCCCAGGTACAGGGGACTGGTGACAAGCTTATTTCCCAACATTGGCTTCGTCTTCCCAGACACAGGCAGCAGTTTACTCCGTTCATCCCCAACATAGACGACAGAGATCGCGGACTCTCGGACCGGGCGAAGGTGGCAGCCAGTGGCTCCCTGTATCTAGACAGACGAAGTTGGCAGCCGCTCCCTGTATCTAGACAGACGATGGTGGCAGCCAGTGGCTCCTTGTTTCTAGACAGACGAAGGTGGCAGCCGTTCCCTGTATCTAGACAGATGAAGGTGGCAGCCGGCGGCTCGATACAACTGCGCCTGTCTAGATACAGGGAGCCGCTGGGTACCACCTGTGCCTGTCTGGGTGCAAGGAGCCACTGGCTGCCACCTGTGTTTGTCTGGATGTAGGGAGCCATTGGCTGCCGCCAGTGCTGGTCGCGCCGTTGAGATCTCCCGCAATGCGGCTACCACGAGTGCTATTCCTAAGCCGGTGAAGCCTGCAGTCAAGCTTAATTGAGGAGAGTTTCTTAGAGCAATAACTAAAATGAAGCGTAACTTAACGTATGCCTGCGTACTTGGGTCTTGAGAGCACCACAGGTAATAAACGGCAGGCGCGTATGCTTTTGCTTCGCAAAGCGCACAAGTAATGCATCGCTTCCCAGGTTTGATGTAGCCGTAGTCTCCAGAGTCCAAATATAATGTTGTCGCAAGACTGCAGATGACGACGCGAGCTCAGACTGCATTGTAAGGATCGCGATTGTCAGCCGTTTGATGAAAGCTTAACTACTATCTTGTTTTTCAGCGTTTCCAAAATATGCTATCGTCAGCATAGTGCTGAGCGGGGCGATGCTGATCATGCTGATTGCGTCACTCTTCATGTACCGGTAAGCAAGCACCTTCCCTGATGTTTGGTGTCGCTGCCACCAGCACGGTACGTCCATGCGGGGCGCGGCGGTGTCACTTATCGCTAACACGTGCATTACAACAGGGCATGGCGAGCGTCACTGTCGTACACATGGTACATTAAGACGGGTCGCGGCGAGCGTCGTGTGTCACCCTCACGGAGTAGCAGCCTTTTTCAGGACGCGTTTTTGTTGACGCGGGCTGATAGAAGGATCGATAGCCCCCCCCCCCCCTCCCCACGCGGACTGATAGAAGGGTGGATAGGCCACCCCCCAGAGTTTTCAAACAAATGAAGATATAGCTTAGTGGAAATCACCGGTGGATCGTAACGAAACCTCACCATTTTTGCTGTTTTTACGTTGTTAAGTCAATGTTTGACCATTATGCCAGGTCAAAGGTCGAATTTTCCAGAAAATCTCACTTTTTCACCCTCATAACATCATGCATACGAGACCACCCTTCGAGGCAACACGAAACTTAAACAGGCGTGTTGCTTGCTCATTTTGAGTACAGTGGTGAATATTTTTGTGTGTTTTGACCATATGCTTATGATTTGAAGCTGCGTGCTAATGTAACCATGTCGGCTCGCCGCGCGCGTTCCACGGCACCGTCGGCTGTCGCCCGCGCCCGCGCCGGCCGTTGATCGCTGAGCGGTGTTTCCGAAAACCGCCGCTGCTCCGAAGCCAGAGAAACTAGAAACACCTGCCCTTGTGTCAAAACACGCGCGATGGTTACCCCATAGCTCATTGAAAAGTTTTGTTCAATTGCATAGCATGCCGGAGAGGTATCTTCACAAACTCTTGGAGGTTCGCGTCGACCCCCCCCCCCCCTCCCCCTCCCCCCATATCACGGCGAGGGTTAACGCGAGGCACAGCCATGGCCACTTGCCGCTAGCCCATTGATAAGTATATGCTGGTCGTTGGTTGTACGTTGAGACCAATCGATGCTCTGAGGGGCGCTGGAGAGCTGTCGGAAATATTTCAATGGCAGTGTGTGTCCACGGGACACCGCACCTATATCCACGAGGCGTGGGACGCCTGCCAAATGGGTTAGCTGTGTAAGAACATCCTGAAGTGGAGCGGCCCACCACCTTAAGATGCATAGCGACCAAAAAATAGTCAATAATTGCATGCGTCACCCAGGGTAAACGTTGAGATACACAAGAGAATAACAAGAGTTCGGTGAAGGTTGGGGAAAGCATGGGACCCCCAAACGTCTTGAGGACTGTTTGATGTGTCCCAAGCGTTCAACGATTGAGCCCCTTTCCATCCGCTACCGCCTTAGGAAATCTGTATTCCTCCGAGCCGCCGCGATGGTCAAGTTTGGCATTTGCTTGGGAAAGGTACCTTTTAGAGTGTAATCGTCCTAGTCAGCTTGGGGAAGACTCGTCCTTTCCTGACCGACGGTATGGGGAAAGGTTAGCAAATTATGATCGAGTTCGAACACATTTGTCAGTGCGAAGTCGCTATAGGACGCTCGGGGATACATCGACCTATGCCCCGGACACCCCTTATGAGAACAAAGTTGGAAACAGCTGGGAACATATTTGAATCCCAATCAAAATGTTTTGACTGTTTTCTTTTTACTTTGCTTTTGTTTGACTTTGGGGCTGACCTCAAGCATTGCCCAAACAAAAAGTTGGGGAATGGCCAGGGCATCCCAGCTGGGATTGGGCGAAATGACTCGCACCACCGCCTACGATGCTACACCCACATATTAAATGTTATACTGAGAGGATACATAACCAGTCAAACTCAAAAGATGATCAGGCCTGTCGGCAGAGACTGCTTATGGATCGCCACTGATCCGATCTTTTTAATACATTTCACAGTATCGGCCGTGGCCCAAGCGACATACGGCAACTCAGATTCTCGAATGTAAATATTGAATCTGAACTTTTTGATTGCATGGATGTCTGGGAGTGGAGCCCATTCTACGGATACCTGTCGCTGGAGCCCTAATCCCTCCATCCGATCGTAAAATCGTCTGATCACCAACGGCAGAAGTTACAGCATTTAGCCTGAGTCCGAATTAACTTAGCATACATTAACTCAACTCGACTCTCTTTAAGGATAAATACCTCACCAAATATGTACATTGGGTCGGCACGACTGCGCCCACACAGGATACCTCAAAACTCGAAGACGGCCACGATACGCCAATCTAGAAGCGCCTTACAGGCGTCCCCGCACGCCGACCCAGCAGACGGCCCGGCACGCTGACCCAACAGAGACCCGCACGACACAGACCCCGCACCACAACAAGCGGCCGCCTGGCACGCTGCAACCCAACAGAGACCCGCAGCCGCCAACAGCCGGCAGCTACCCAGAAGGCCCCGGCACGCTGACCCAACAGAGGCCCGGCACGCCCCACAGGCCCCGGCACGCGACCCACGGACCCGGCAGGCCAACAGAAGCCCCGGCACGCTGACCCAACAGAGACCCGGCACGCCGGCCCAACGGAAGGCCCCGGCACGCTGACCCAACAGACCTCGGCAAGCCGACCCAACAGAGACCCCGGCAAGCCGACCCAACAGAAGGCCCCGGCACGTTGACCCAACAGACGGCCCCGACACATCAACCCAACGGTGTCTCCGTCCAGGGGGCACGGCATTATGCACTCGTCGGCACCCAGGGACGTACGGTTGCCTCGTGCGCGCCGCCGCCTACCGCTCCCCAGGTGACGCTGTTCCACTACACTCCTCGGGACGCAGTTCACGCCATGCAGGCCACACAAATTTCATAGCAGCCACGAGGAAACAACGCAAGACACGCATCAGTATGATCAGATTATAATCTGGGCTGAAAGAAAGCGCGCTACGAGAATGCCCTGGAGGTCGAGGGTGAGAGAGGCCTTGAGCGTGCCAGACGAGCAGGCTGGGCTCCAACCGAGCGCTGGCCGACGCCACGGGAAAGCCAACTAAGGAGCCATTGTCCAGAGTCACCAGCCGGGACCGTTCTCATCGTCCTCCCGCGGCCGCTTATGTGCGCGATCGAGCAGGCTACGAACCTAATGTGCCCTGAAACGGCTCGAAGCCGAGAAGCAAACGTGACTTCGTTTTAATGTGTCTTTTGGGAGATGGCTCTCCAGCCAAGGGGAATGCAGAACGCGCCATGCGGGTGGGGTGGGGTTGGGGGGCTCAACAAAGGCCTTTAGGGGACCAAATCCAAAAGGTGCGCTGGTTTTAAAAACTACTCTGGTTATGCATGGATTGAGGGGCGCTCTTAAACAAATGGATTATTGTTGAATTGTTCCCTCAAATAAACTCCCACCTGTAGAAGTTGCATAGATTGCCCTCGAAGTGAAGAAACGGGTCATTTTTCACCCAAATTCATCCGCCTGAGGAAGGGGGGCATGGCCTGGTTGACCCGCTTGGATTTGTGCTTATCTCCAGCGAGTCCAGTGCTTCTACGGTCAGCCGGATCGAGCCGATGAGCGGCTGCAGCATGACAGGACGACATGGGCTTTAGTGCACTGGCTGGAGGAGCATTTTCGGGACGGGAGTGTTTCTCAGCCTACAGAATACCGAGCTATGGGCTGCCCAATCTCCTGACTTGTCGCCTCTAGACCCGATGCTGCGCACCCTGATGACCGCGGAGCCGCGGACAAACCAGCGAACCTTCAGAGCGCAAGGCTGCCATCATACTTGAGATGGGACTCAGCGTTGCCAAGATGGGCCGTATATGACGGATCACTCGCAGCAGGTCCGGCTAGCGCACACCCTGTGCCGACAGCGTACCCATCGGGAACATGTTCTGCAGAGTCGCGACTGGACGAATGTGAGATTTTCTAGGGCTTCTGTTGTTGGTGATCGTCTTTCACCATTGGGCTGACATTTAAACGCCACCAAGGTCTAGTGTTGAATGTGCGACCAATATAACTGTCATTATTGAGTGAAGCATGGGTGTACTTCTTATTTATATAAATAGGAAAGTTATTGAGCTGCTCCTGGTTCTACGCCACATACCAATAGGTACTGGATAAACGACGTTTTGTAGCAATTATTGGTTATGTTGTCAATGTTGGACATTTCCAGCTATTCTTGTGATCTCGTGATTAAGCACTCGTGACATAAGCTTCGCGTGAAGTATCGAGCACTCACAACATAAATGATGTTTGCTTAGTAACGTAGTTTAACCAGCACCTCCCTGGCATATCGAAGATCAAAAACTCTCTGCATAAGAACTCTTTACTCTTACCTGTTCAGTTTTCTCCGCGCTACCCTGTGCCACATTCAAGTATCGGCTGCAATCAACCGGCTGTTGTGCAGTGCTGCTTTGGAAGTCACGTCATTACCCGAAAGCTCGACGCTACTGCGTCACGCTCAGCCACGGCAGTAGTCACCATTGGCAGCCAGCCATTGGTATTTCTGCCAATAGTCACCAGCTATTGGCTCAGCCTAGACAACGGCACTTATGCAATCAGGCTGTCATAATGACGGCGCGATGCCGCGAACATGGCGACTACAATGAGCCGGTCCGGTTGCATATCCAGCACACGGTCATTTCAAGACTTGAAGCTGCTGAAGCCATTATCCAAAAAGTGACTACACCTTGTGCAAAAATATTTCATCCAGCAGATAGTAAGCGAACCTCAACTGGCGTTCAGAGACTGAGAGGCAAGCGACGCCATATAGCCTCAGCAGCTGAGCGCGCCGTAAAGCCCCAATGACAAAGGTCAACTCCTAAGAATCAACGGCCAACTCTGGTTGGCTAGGTTACAGTGCCGCACACCCTGTAAGACCCCAGCAAAGCTTGCGGACTAAGAGCTCGTGTAGGGAGTGGGCGCACGCCAGCACCGTGTTCGGTCTGGGCGTATCTGCCGCCACCTGAAGTTTCTCAGCGCTGGGCTGGGCCCCCGCTCGCGGCGCGTGGGGAGGCCGGGCGTGGCTTCCGATGGCAGCGGTCGTGGGTCTGGCTCATGTGTGAGTGCTCCCGGTGCTCCATGAGTGCGCCCATGCTCCCGGTCAGACGAGGCACTG